ACAAGGAGGACGGGTTCTTCGGCTGGAAAGATCATTTTTAAAGGAGGCAAGTCTGTTAATACAATTATCAGGTGGAAGGTAGCCAATGGACTGGACATTGATGTATATAATGATACATGGATTCTGGAAAAAAAAAATTGAACAAATGGCCAACATTTATTATTCCAACAAATAGCCAATGGACTGGACATTGATGTATATAATAATGGAAGATGGAATGTGGAAGCCTTGAAAGATTATATGGGAGATGATCTTGTTAACCTTGTTTCTCAAATCAAGATTAACAATTAGTCAATTGAAAGACAAGATAGAATTGTTACTTCAGTCGAATGGTAAATCCATTTCAGCAATGATTTCTGAAAAATTTAAAGCAAATAGTGGCAGCAAGCATTATTGGAGTTGGATTAAAAATGCCAAACTCAACCCAAGGGTTGAGACATTGTGGTGGAGAATTTTCAATGATGCTATTCCCACTAATAAAATGTTAGAATACAGAAGATTACATAACTATAAGCTTTGTCCGAGAAGTTTTCTAGAAGATGAAGACATTGATCATATTGTGGCTAGATGCCCAAAGCTGAGAGATGTTATTTTTCAAATTGGGAAATGGGGTTTTCAATTTCCTATATTTGATTCCTTAATAGAGTGAAGCAATTGGATGTCTAAACAATGATCATTTATGATCAACTTATATTGTAACATGGTGTTCTTCTCTTGGAAGTCCAGGAACAATTTAATTCACAATGGCAAAGAAGAAAGTGCTTCAGTTATTGGAGCTAAAGAAGTGAGTTTCTCCTCATTCATGGCTCAAGGGTTTAGTAGAATCTCGGGTAAATGGGATATTAATCAGTCTTCAAGGCTGTCCAACATTCATTGGTATCCCCCTCCACCCGATTGGCTTAAGGTCAACGTGGATGCTTCCTTACTACCTTCTTATAAAGCTGGAATAGGAGGTGTAGTACGTGATTTCAAAGGCAGATTTCTCTTGGCTTTTGGTAAGTCGTATGTTCATTGGGATATTTCTACATTGGAGCTTCTTGCTACTCAATCTATCAAGGAGGTGATCAAGGATTGGATGTTCAAATACAAAGGTATTATAATTGAAGGAGACAATGCTAATGTGATGAAATTCTTGCAATAATCTCAACAAAAGGGGACTACTAAGCATGGTAATATGGATCTTTTTTATGGTTTTTGATCAAATTATTTTTAATTGTGTGGATAGAAGATGCAATAAGTTAGCAGATTTATGTGCTAACTATGGCATTTTGAGTTTTTTTTATTTGTGAAGATATCAACATATATATGATTCCTCCTTCCTTTATGTCTATCTTAAAGGAGGAATCTAGAGTTGATAGTCTTTAGTTGTTCCTATTTACTTTTTCAGTTTTTTTTTTTTAGGAAATTTGAGGGCTTAGCCCTTTCTATTAAAAAAAACAGAGGATTACAATGAAAGAAAAACCAAAAATGCATTGCCAAGGAAAAAAACTAGGCAAGCAGCTAGAACATGTAAATAAAAACAACTAAAAATGGAAAAGAAGAACCCAAAAAAAAAAGACAGGAAGACATGTCTGGCCTGGACTCAGAATAAAATTATCTAATCATGAAAGCAATTAGTCTCCTTTGGTTGCTCGTAGACGGTCCTAAAGGAGTGGTAGGATTCATCATCGTCCACGGCCCAAAATTTAGCCTGCCAAAAATTCCAAAATCAACCAGCAACGAAGCAGCAACAGAAGAAGGATTTGGGCAACAACAGAGAATTCCACCAATAAAACCAAAACAAGGAAATAATTGCCTACCCAAAATCCAATACCGTCCAGCATCTAACTAGCAGCAGTTAAGGGGGAATGAGCAATAACCTCTCAAAACAACAGCATTAACCATATGATCATCTAGAAAAAACAATCCTCCCTCAAAGGTAAGATAAGCACCCCCTAAATCAAATTCCAACAAGGATAACGAAGTGTCATCAACCTTGAATTTTATAGAAAAAGCCCAGAAAAGGCACTGTCTAGCCAAAGCACCAGCCAATAAAAGCCCCGTCTAGCAAAAAACCTTCCTGCCATAAGAAATAACAAGCCCCAGCCCAACGCCAACTAGTGATAGGACATCATAAGCTCTTCTTTTATCAGATTTCCACATTTCCAACTATCAAGTTTTAGATACACAGCTTTATAAACTTTCTTTGCTAACGCAACAGCACAAGCAATCCTCCCGTTATGCTTACTAGAGTTTCGCTCAGTCCACAGGGAATAGACAGTAACATTTAAAATCACCAAAGCTCCAAGTTTAACTTCCCTATTTAAATCCAACCTAGCAATAAACTGAAGAGCTTGGCCTAAGTTGGGTCTAAGAAGAAAGCTGTTAAATTGAGGAATAAGCCTACTAATAACTTGGAAGGAATAATCACATTCAAATAAGAGATGGGCAGTGGTTTCTGGGTACAAGTGGCAAAGAGGACAACTAAAATCACCAATTGCAATGTTTCTCGCACTCAAGACATCAGATGTCTTGAGACCATTAGAAAGAGCCATCTAGGAGTAGACCGAATGTCTAAGTGAATGTTTTTTGTGCCAAACCAGTGAATCCCAGTCAACATCATTTTCTAAGGAAAAAAACTCTTTATAAAAGTCCTTGAAAGTAGCATTTTCATTGTTGTCCCTAGTTAGATGTTTGGAGCAGCCATTAGAAATTGGAATGGATAATGAACTCTTTAATATGGCAGCTGAGGGAATTAGGAAGGGACCAAGAGGTCCCAGTCATCCAAGTGGAAAGTGTTATTGAATCCGTAATACCAGCGCTGTGATCTAAATCTAGAAAGGAATCCAGAATGGAGCCATTGGGACACCAATGATCCCAGAGAGTAGCAATGGAGCTATTAGACAGGACATGAAATCTAACATTGCTTTTATACAGATTAGCAGTAATTGGATACTTTTCCAAAAAATAGTGCTATGACGAGGAGTCGGCTTCCAAGGTGAGGTATATCTAATTTTGATCCTTCTAGATAGTTGGGAATCATGATTGTAAATCGTGATAATAGAATCACAGTTATAAGCCGATCTAAGAGAGTGTAAAGAGGCAATGCCAAGGCCACCTTTAGAGTAAGGCATAGTATAATTTTTCCATGAAATGAGATGCAATCGCTTAGAATGGTCACCACTATGATAGAGAAATTTGGAACAAGCCTTATCAATTTTCTTCAAGATGATTTTTGTAATAATAGAGCCTCTAATCCAATAAGCAACATAGGTTGGTAATAGTATATTTGATGAATTGAAGTCTACCTGCAAAATAAAGAAACTTTGTTTTGCAACCGAAAAGCAGGTTAGTAATTTTATCAATAAGAGGGGAGAAGTCGGAGAGCTTAGATCTCCACAGAGAAATGGGGATACCCAAGTAAGGAATGGTGGTGGAGCAAGTGTGAATGTGAAGGGCTTGAGATATGGAGGAAGAGATGGTGGCTGAGGATGCGAAAATGAGTGAGCTTTTGTGTAGATTAAGGTTGAGGCCAGAGAGACAGGAGAATTGGTGAAGAATGCCCATAAGATTTTCACAATTGTTAATTTCAGCTTTGCCAAAAACAAGCAAGTCGTCAGCATAAGTGAGATGAGTCAAATGGAAATCTTCAAAGTGAAAACCTTCAAATTTGTCATAAGAGTATTGTCTTCTATGAGGCAAGAGAGAGCATCCATAATAAAATAGAAAAGAAACGGGCTAACAAGGCAACCTTGCCTAAGACCAGAGGATGATCCAAAGAATCCTTCAAGCCCTCCATCAATACAAGTGGAGAATTTGATGTCACTGATGCAAGCTTTAATTCACTGGATGAATAAAGGAGGAAGCCGCTTTTGAGCCATCCTAGCAAAAAGAAAATCCCTTAACACAGTGTCAAATGCTTTCATAATGTTAAATTTTGCACAAACAAATCTATCCTTATGAGTCTTAGAGATGAAACCAAGAATCTCAGCCGCAAGGATAGTATTATTAGAAGAGAACCTATTAGTAATGAAAGCAGCTTGTCTTTGGTGAATGATCTCAGACATGAAGGGCTTGAGCCTTAAGGCTAGGATCTTGGCAATAATTTTGTGAAAAACATTACATAGAGATATAGGCCTGAACTCTTGGATGGATTCAACATGTGTTTTCTTGGGAATTAGTGCAATGACAGTAGCTTTTACACGATTGGGAAGATAACACTTGTTAAAGAAAGACTTAACAGCATGACAGACAGATATCCCAGTAATAGGCTAAGTCCTTTTGAAAAATTCTGCATTAAACTCGTCCGGCCCAGGTGCAGAAGAAGAGCAGCCAGAGTTAATTGCCTCCCGAATATCCTCATTAGTTACATGAGTAGTCAAAAGCGCCTTAGCATTTTCAGATAGCAGATTTCCATCATGAATAATCTCCACATTGTTGAGAGTAGGAGTGGGAGAGTTGTAGAGATTATTGAAGTAATGAATAATTCCATTAAAATCAGCCTTTTGAGCATTACCACTAATAGAGGAATTGAGAATGCACCTATTATGAGATTTCTCAAATTAATCTTGGAATATAAGAATTTGAGGTCCTCTTCACCATGCTTTAACCATTTAACTTTGACTCTTTGAATGATCCATTTTGCCCTTAAGGAGTTGTAGAATGCAAGATCAAAATTAATCTTTTTAAGATTACCACAAAGGTGGGAGTTGAGAGGATCCAAATCAACTTTTTCAGTTTCTTAATGCAATCTTATGCATTTCTTTCAAAAAAAAAAAACTGTTCAAAAAAAAAAAAAAAAAAAACTTTAAAAAAAAAAAAAAAAAAAAAACGGCAAGTCAGCATTTTTCATTGAATAGTTAAAACAAAAAAATAAAATAATCCAGTCAAATCTCCCGGCTGCTATTGACCCATCCACGCGTGACGCAGTAAAGAATCTCTTCCCACTTCTTCCACGAACTTACAAGTTACAACTCTATAAATACCGAACCTCTTGCGACTTTATCCAAAAACAAGCTGTATGCATGGCTTCCATGCGCCCCAGCTTCCTCATCCTACTCTTCCTTCCCCTCCTCATCGCTGCCGACAAATGCAACAAAGACGACAAACGTGCCCTCAACTCCATCAAATCCGCCTACAACTTCACCGGCTGGAACTCCGCAACAGCCTGCTGCGATTGGAGCGGCGTCGAATGTGATCCTACCGTCCCCGGCACCGATGGTTCTCGCGTCACCGGCCTATTCGTTCAAACCGATTCCACCATCACCGGCACCATCCCCTCTGCCGTTGGCGACCTCCCTTTCCTCACCACTCTAAGCTTCCACAAACTCCCCAATGTCACTGGTAACATCCCATCCTCCATTACCCGTCTCACACGCCTCTCTATCCTCTTCCTCTCCTGGAACTCTCTCTCGGGGCCGATCCCCTCGTTCCTCTCCCAAATCCCCTCTCTCACAGACATCGACCTCTCTTTCAATAAATTCTCCGGCTCAATCCCCCCTGAACTTGCCAAGCTTCCTTCTATCCAACAAATTGATTTCTCCCGCAACCGCCTCACCGGATCTATCCCAGCTGAATTTGGCAATTTCAACAAATCCTCCCCACCGAATCTCATTTTCAGCCACAACAGCCTCTCCGGCGATTTACCGGTCTCCCTCGGCGTGCCGGTATGGGGTAAAATAGATCTGAGCCGGAACAATTTGACTGGCGACGCTTCTTTTTTATTTGGTGCGGGGAAGTCGACGCGGTATATTGATTTGAGAAGGAATGAGTTCGCGTTTGATCTTAGTCGGGTTACGTTTCCGGTGAACTTGACGGTTTTAGATCTGAATCTTAATAAGATTATAGGGTCGATACCGGCTCAGATAAACCAGGTGGACCCGACTTACTTTCCTGTGTTCAACGTTAGTTATAACCGGCTTTGTGGTGAAATTCCGGCTGGGCCGATCACTGCTATGTTTGGAGTGGATTCGTATTTTCACAACAAGTGCCTCTGCGGCTCGCCGTTGCCTCCCTGCTAGAAGTTAAAATTTAAAAATATCAGTTGTGTTGTTACCCAATAATTTTTTTTTTTAAATTAATGTTGTTTTCGTAATTATTCCTGTGACGAGTTTGCGTAATTTGTTTTCGTCATATTTCCTGTGACGAGTTTGTGTAATTGTTTTGCTTTTCTTTTCCTGATATTAATAAAAATGCTCGTGCATTTGCAAGAAGTAAACAAAGATATAATTAGATTTTGTTTGGGATAATATTCTTAATGCTTTATAAAACAGATTTCTAGTTTAAAATTTATTTGAATTAGAAATTTTTGAAATGAAAATTTTTTGATAAAACAATGAGAGGTATTTTAAAAAATATAAAGCTTCTATAATAGAATATATAAAAAAATATAACTAAATAATAATGTGATAAAAATATTTTTATTTTAATATTCATTGAGCTTAGTTTGAAAGAATTGAAATATTACTGAAATGAGCATGATAAGTGTAACGGTACCTTCAACCTAGCATTGTAGAATATAGTAGAAGAAAAGGAAAATGCAGTAGTAAAGAACAGAGCAAGGTAGTAATGTATTCCATGCATATTAAAGTTGAATAGAGTAGTTTCTTATATACTAGCTAAGACATTTAGTACTAATTACATAAGTTCTTTTTAGATTGTTGAAAAGAAGTGACTGTGATTTGATCAAGTATAAAGGTAGATAGTGATGCCTGAAGAACACCAAACAAAGATGGTAGCCAGTTTGGGCGAAAAGGGATTTGAGAAGAATAGCATTTCCAAAGGAGCAACACTATTACCACCCCTCAAGTTGAGGTAGATTACAGACCATAAACTTTTCTCTGAGAGAAGCAAAAGTAGAGTTGGGTGGTGCCTTCATAAGATGTCTTCTATCTAATTTGTTGTAGAAGTATGTTGAATAGTGATGACAGCAGATTGTATGGCTTCTCAGATGAAATGTTGATCAATTTTTATATGCTTTGTACATGCATGAAAAATCAGGTCGCTGGCAAAAGAAAGGGATGAAATGTTGTCACATAACAAGACAGTAGTATCAAGTTTAAGTGGGAAGTCTTGGTAGAGTCAACGAAGCAAGATAATCTTAGCGGTGGAAGCAACAACAGAGCATTATTTATCCTCTGTTGAAGATCTCGCGATCGTAGTTTGTTTTCTTACGCTCCATGTGAGAAGATTTGGACCGAGAAATATGTCGACAATCCCAGTCATAGACTTGCAATCTTCGGTGTCAGCTACCCAATTAGAGTCGGAGAAGGCTTGAAGTTGGAGATGGACTCATTGGAGAAGAGGGCCATGTGTTGAGGTGCCCTTTAAGTGTCACGACCCGGCCCGGTTAGCTCGCAAGTGCGAGGCGGGAACAGAGATCGGACAGAAAGAAGATAAAAGAAACTTTACAAAACAATTAATATAACTCCAAAATGAAGCATCAACAATTAATATAACTCATTATTCGAGGTCAATTTCCCCGGACTCAATTCTAGCACCTAGGTCTTCGTAGCCTAGAAAAGACGTCACCCATAGGATTTCCCTTAGGTGGATACCTATTGACGTTGCATCGACTTGAACCTATCACTCAACTCAAATCAAGCTCGATTTTTAATTCGTCGATGTCGATCGACTCAATCTAATTTATTTTCGATCAAATTGATACATTATTGGGCTCAAATCAATTCACCAATCGAATCAAAATCAAATCAAATTAACTAAAATTGAATTCGACTTCAATGGCACTGATTAACCCGTTTTGACTCGTCACAAGTATATATA